CCCAGACAAATCCAGTCTTCACCGTCGCAACACATTTCCCTAAGATCTATTTTAATATTATCCTCTCATGAGTTCCTCAGTCTCCAACCTATAGAGGCTCTGTGTGTCCATCAACTGGTTTCCTCAAAACTTCACGAGTCTGTCCTCAATTATCCTCAATTATATTCATTCTAAAAGATCAGCTCGTTTTATTTTTGAAGTGTTCAATAACAAATACATCGCAGTGGAAAGATTGGCCCGAAGAAATGCAACCGGAACTCTCGGAGCTCAAGGTTGGCGGTCGTCAGGGACAAGTTGGATAACACTTTGACACACGAGCAGGGAGACATCTGCTCCCCATCTGGAACGTTTTCGTTTCGAGTCATCAACAGCCCACTAACATGGCGGACGTGCGAACTTGTGAGGTGGGAACAACATTGGGGTCAATTAGTTTAGAGGCCGAAAGACTTGCGATGTCAATTTTTTTTTTAAAAAAAAAAAAAAGTCAACTTTCTTCAGGGCGTATTTTTTTGTTGTTGTAAAATTGAAAACTACAAATTTGACACACGTAAAAATATCTAGGTTCGGTATGGACAGGAGATTGATCACAGTGACCTTGTATACCAGGATCTACGAGGAGTCAGCTACGTAAGAAACTCAAATTTTAATATCTAAACGTTCTATAAAATCAACGCAATATCCATGAATAATTTTAATATAAAATGATGCGAAATTAACGAAGTGCTTAATTAATTAATTAATTAATACAGATTAGGTCCGTATACACCCCGAGCAACATCGCCAATTACGATACTTTGTCGCAAAACGTTCCTACAAGAAATTCCACCGAGTTTCTGAAGTGATTTAACCACCGATTTCCGAAAACAGGTACTTAAAACCGAATGTCCTTTAAAAGAACAACTTTTAAACGCCAACGAGAGAGCACAGAGACATACGGCGAATACAGAAACGAGCAAAAGCTGTTTAATGATGGACAGCTTCAAGAAACACAGGCGCATTCACGAAAATGGATTACGAATCGGACTACAATCTAGCGGACTGTGAGTCTACACCTGGGCACACAGATTACGAGTCTACATGCGACCACGCTGCACGAGTTAATGGCTGGACACCACGACCACAACATGACAGTCGAAAAGTTGGGCAGAATCATCCGAGGTACTCGTCAGATGATGACGTTACTTCACTGCGTTAAAATATTCGTAAATACATGTAAGTACCTTTTGCAGCTCGACACGTATCTGCGGGGTAGGAATCCAGTTGTCCGCTTGGCACTGAATGTGGGTCACTGTGCAGTGTTTTTGCGTTAACACCTGTCGCCATGGATACAAAACAGCCCACGAGGCATCTATTAAATATGAACGACAAGCAAACTAGAATCGATTCTAGAAACAAATGTAAACTACACCATCATGCATCATGCAACACTCTTCAGAGGCCAGTAATGATATCGTCACAGAACCTTCACAAAGAGTCAAAAAGGCCAGTAATGATATCGTCACAGAACCATCACAAAGAATCACGAAACTGAACGCGTAGTTACCAATTTATGACGTCCATTTTGTTGTCATGATAAAGTCTCCTTTCAACCACCACACGAGAGCTCAGTGTCAAGGTCGGAAATTGAATAATAATGAAGGACGCAAAGTTGCTACTTCATGCTCGGTAATGAAGACCTGGTGCCTCGTCTAAATCGACTGCATATAATAAAAAAGAACAACGAATAAAAGTATGTATTTACCTTCCCTGTATGACATGCGAATGTTACAATTCATTTTTTAACATCTAACTCAAGAAATTCTGAACCGAAAACTTCAAACACGACACAATACCCAGTCAGAACAGGAGGTTCCTGCTGCCTCCATCATCAGGGAAATGATGGAGGCAGCAACCTATAAAACGTCGGTAAACCAACGGTGGTCTAGCGGTTAGAACGCTGGCCTTGTAATCCTGGGGGTCTCGAGTTCGATTCCCGGCGGTGCCTGAATTTATAACTTGTGTTGGGCAACACGGAGTTTTCCTCCGTGGCATCCCAACAATTACTCCATTCACACACAAAAGAAGGCAATGGCAAACTCGGGTTCGATTCCCGGCGGTGCTCGAATTTATAACTTGTGTTGGGCAAGATCGTGGTCTAGGCAACACGGGGTTTTCCTCCGGGGGCTTCCCCGGTTTCTCCGTGGCATCCCAACAATTACTCTATTCACACACAGAAGCAGGCAATGGCAAACCACTTCTGGATCATCTGCCAAGAACGTATATGAACAGGTCCCAGTCCGAGAAAAGGATGGAAGGATCCTGTTCATATGGACCTGTCCTCAGACAGAACACTAAATAAACAAATAATAAAACTTGTACCAGACAAACCAGAAGGAAGAAATCTTCATAATCGCCACGCGAGAACCTGAAATCCCACTTGCCTTCACTTCGTTTATGATCGTGAAGTGACAACCCGTTCTCCACACGCTGACACAAATCACACCGAAGTTATTCCAATGTCGAAGTTTTGAATACCTGATTCATGGGAACCTCGCTCTCCAGAATTAATGCAATTAGGGAAATATGGCGTAACTTCGCCACTG